TACCTGAATTAACAATTCATATCACTTCTTGTGGCAGAAACTCATTAATAGACCACTATTTTCTGTGTCAGGAGAACGAGGACAGTGTTCTATTTGTAACTTTTTTCTAGCCAAATAATTGCATAAATCTCATTTGCTCTCTCCCTCTCCCATACTATTAGATAGTAAAATGCCAACACCAAAAACAATTATAAATATACATAATATGTAATCATACATCAGTATAATTGCAGTCATTACAAATACTACTCATGCATTCACATGTGGCCCAGTGTCATGACAGATTAAAACATTAACCACTAGTATACATTTGCCAATAATGCCTTATCAATCATGATGGCCCAACAACAGAAGATGCAAAAAATGGAATTCAACACACTGAAACTTCACTGTGGGCCTGAAAACGACAGACTTGCTAACATGCAAGTATTAGAGACATTTGCTTTGGTAGAGTAATATGGCTGAATTAGATCTTTCTTGCATTGACATAATCTCTCAGACCCAATGAATGGGTAAATGTAGCCATTCCCTGCAGTCTTACCTGGTGAGAAAGTGATCAATCAATCATTAATCAGAAAGTTTTCCAGCTAAAACTAAGGTCCTAAAAATCTGCAAAGTTGGGATTTTTTGTAACCCCCTTTAAAATACTATGTAGGCTAGAAGTGAAACAAATAAATGCCCCCACTTTCTGGCACTGATAGCTATATATACTGCAAAATTAAGATGACCAGCAACCAGTAAATGATTATTTCTTGGATGAATTTGGTGCCTTAATTCTGTGTGAAAAGAATGGTATATTTTTTTCATACAACTTCATCTGAAAATAACTGGTATTTGATAGTTGTCATGATTACTATGAAATACTGATTGCCTTTTCATTGTTATCTTACGTGACAATTTTTAATGAAACCCTTACAGATATATGTAACTAATTCCCTACATACCTTTTTGATTCTCTAACCATCAAAAGTTAATGCTTCCTTTTTCCATTTGGGATGAGACCGCCTCTGCACTATCTGGGAATCTTCAAGCAAATTCAAGTGATTACCCCTATCTGCATAAAGGAGACAAAGACCTTCAGATGCTGAGCTATTGAGAGTAAAAGAGACTTTTCTAAATGTTTTTTTATCTTCTCTTTGCACCTGCAATTGGAAATCAAAGTAAGCACTAATTCAGTTAGAAAAACAAACAGCAGGCAATCAATTGCCAAAAGGAACCTAGCTGCTAATGTAAACATGACTGGAATCTTACGCTATTACTTGATACCTTACTTGAGGAAAGTTCTTATCACCTTCCCTTAGACCCAGGTGAAAGATTTCTCTTCTAGCATAAATTAGCATATTTAATGTACATTCTAGGTATTTTGATTAATTGCACACCCTAGATTTTCCATGTTACAATTTCTTTCATCCTAAATAAACCTTTTTTTTTTTTTGTTTAAGACTACATGGTAGTAATAGCAGATGTGTCAACGCTGATGTATTATACATGCATCAACAGTTCCTTTAACATGTTAGTCATGTTCTCTGACTACAGTTCTTTGACATTTCCCATAAACACCTTGGGAAAAATGGTGTTCATATGTTGGCATCAATTCAAATTTTAAGAACAACATTTCCTACTGGGGAAGATACCATATGATACTACTTTTCAGACCACTTGCAAAGAATTACTTGCTCCTGGATGGGTTGAATTTTTTTTATGCATGATGTCATATATGAAATACTTTCATATGGGCATCACTTTCTCTCATATTATTATACCTTTTCCACTTTGTGTCCCAGCATACACTTTCAACTCTAAAAACCTCCCATGAAAGTTAATATACAGAAAAATTATTAAGGTAATGTTTATCAGGTCAGTTTGATACTGCCTGTGTGTGTACTCCTGGTTTGTGACAGTGTAACTTCACTTAAATATTCTCTATTGCAGGTTCCTTGCATTATTTTTTACTTGTCAGGAGCTAAGAGCCCTTATAAACCTGCTGCAGTTCAGCTGACAAGTGGAAACCTGAATGCAAATCCTTACTTGTATATTACAAAGAAATTTAGCCTACTTTAAATGTATCCCAAACACTTACTATTGCTTACTGGTTTCTTGAAGCTGCCTGAGCAACTTGCTTTCTGAAAAAACAAAAACCAAATACAGTTAACTTGAGCTAAGTTGGGCAATTTCATAGCATATGCCCTGCACAGGGGAAAGAACACAGCTTTTTGCCCCTAAGAAAAATGTTTCGTTCATACTTCCAAATATTTTTTCCTCTCAGAAAGATAGAAACAATGAAATCTGAACAATAGGCTCACACCTTTTAGCTTCTGGTTTAGACACCAATTCTACATCTGACTGATTTGAAACAATAAAATGGTAAAAGCAGATCTTATCCTGAAACTTAACTGCAGTGGTAAATACTCTCTTGCAGTTGTTTATCCCTTAGATACATCCTTCCAAAATCCCTGACTCCGGCCTTCTTTTCATCTGAGTAGAGTGGGCTGCTTCAGCCAGTTTACAATTCAATTTAAATGTTTCCCAACTAGATAAACACCTGGCAGCAAACAGTATGTTTCAAACATTGCAAAGATTGGTACAATCCCCTTTAAATGGTGTCAAAGGACCTGCTGTTTTCTGCAGTGCAAGACTCTAATTTACCATAGTGGCTGAAACACCCAAAATATCTCCCTCAATTACCTCCTGCCTTCTTGACTCTTATCTCACCTAGACCTTAATCACCTCAGAGTAGGAACTCTCTTTATTTTGAATTTTGCATGATAACAGGTAGGGTATCAAAGCTCAGTGATTAACAGTGTAAAATATAATTCTCAGTAGAAGGCATACCAGACTGAAAAGGCTGGACTTTCTCTAACGAGGCCTACAGGAAACATTGGACATACTGTACTCTTAGTTAGGTACAAATTCCCATTTTAAGCAAGCATATGCAAAACATGAACACAAGTTGAGTACATTTACACATGTGAGGGCTAAGATTCCTTGTCACACAAGTATAACAAAGCTCCTCTATCTTTAAGAAGTATAGTAAGTAGACTGCTTTTAGCTATGTGTTATATTTTTTTCCATAGATACATAATCACGGACTTTTAAGGAATACTATAATGGCAGCACCACCTAGTGGTACCAAACCACAGTGCAGCATTTTCAGTGGTTTTCTTGAAGAAAATTACTTCAGAAATCATAGGGAAAACCCTCAGATTAAATTGTTTCAAAATACCCACATGACATCTATATGTTTTGGGTGTTTTTTAATTTCGAATGAGCATGAATAAATAATATTTTCAAGCTCTGGGTATGCATTTACTTATGTTCTGTGTTTACCCTTTGAAAAAGATGTGTATTAATCACAGAGGGTAGAATATGGGGGTAGGGGTTGTGCATAGGTATACAGATATTTAAAAAATGATCAGGTATTAGAATAGTTACTATTCACACCTTTCCCTCTAACTTTACTATTTACTACTGCTGGTGTAAAATCTAGCTGAAAACCCAGCAACTCTGGACCTCTGTCCATCATATTTGAAAAATCATGGCAGTCAGGTGAAGTTCCCAATAACTGGAAAAAGGGAAATATAACCCCCATTTTCAAGAAGGGGAAAATGGAGGACCCAAAGAGCTACAGACCAGTCAGTCTCACCTCTGTGCCTGGCAAAATCTTGGAGCAGATTCTCCTGGAAGGCATGCTAAGGCACATGAAAAACAACAAGGTGCTTGGTGACAGCTAGCATGGCTTCACTAAGGGGAAATCCTGCCTGACCAATTTGGTGGTCTTCTATGATGGGGCTACAGAACTGATGGACAAAGGTAGAGCAGTTGATGTCATCTACCTGGACTTGTGCAAAGCATTTGATACTGTCCCACATGACATCCTTGTCTCTAAATAGGAGAGACATCAATTTGATGGACCACTCAGTGGATAAAGAACTGGCTGGATGGCTGCACACAGAGCTCTGGTCAATGGCTCAATGTCTGGCTGGAGACCAGTAACGAGTGGTGTCCCTCAGGGATCGGTGTTGGGACCGGTCTTGTTTAACATCTTCATCGCTGACACGGACAGAGGGATTGAGTGCGCCCTCAGCAAGTTTGCCGATGACACCAAGCTGTGTGGTTCAGTTGATACACTGGAGGGAAGGAATGCCATCCAGAGGGACCTTGACACGCTTGTGAGGTGGGCTGATGCCAACCTCATGAAGTTTAACCATGACAAGTGCAAGGTCTTACACCTGGGTCGGAGCAATCCCAGACACAGCTACAGGCTGGGCAGAGAAGAGATTCAGAACAGCCCTGTGGAGAAGGACTTGAGGGTGGTGGTTGATGAGAAAATGAACATGAGCCGGCTTCAGTGTGCGCTTGCAGCCCAGAAAGCCAACCGTATCCTGGGCTGCATCAAAAGGAGCATCACCAGCAGACCGAAGGAGGTGATCCTGCCCCTCCACTCTGCTCTTGTGAGACCTCACTTGGAGTATTGTGTGCAGTTCTGGTGTCCTCAACATAAAAAGGACACGGAAGTGTTGGAACAAGTCCAGAGGAGGGCCACGAGGATGATCAGGGGACTGGAGCACCTCCCATATGAAGATCAGCTGAAAAAGTTGGGGCTGTTCAGCCTGGAGAAAAGAAGGCTGCGTGGAGATCTCATAGCAGCCTTCCAGTATCTGAAGGGGGCCTATAAGGATGCTGGGGATGGACTCTTCATTAGGGGCTGTAGTGACAGGACAAGGGATAACGGGTTAAAACTTAAACAGGGGAAGTTCAGACTGGATATAAGGAGGAAGTTCTTTACTGTACGGTGGTAAGGCACTGGAATGGGTTGCCTAAGGAAGTTGTGAATGTTCCATCCCTGGTGGTGTGCAAGACCAGGTTGGACGAAGCCTTGGGTGATATGGTTTAGAGTGAGGTGTCCCTGCCCATAGCAGGAGGGTTGGAACTAGATGATCTTAAGGTCCTTTCCAACCCTAACTATTCTATGATTCTACGATGGGACTGTAGTAGTTATCTAAGTTGAATTTCATGTACTCCGTTAAACATACCATGTGTTATTTAATTTGTAACCTGTCTTTGACTTCTTCCATGTAGATGAGCAAAGAAAAATGTGGCCATGTTAAAAACTGAGTTCCATAACTTTAACTCTTCATATGTTTGAGAAGTTTACCGGTATCAGTATGTAAACTACTTCAAGAACAGCAGTCACAGCCTGATGCGTAAACAGTTAACTATACATAATTACAGTTAATTTATTAGGTTATGTAGGTTTGAATGATGTTCAAGGCATAACATAGCCCCAAGGTATCAGGTTTCTCCCAAAAATGATGAAGTTAGGTTAGTGCAGTGACACTAAAGTTATCTAAAGACTGAAGTATCATGCAAGAGAGACTTTTCTGTTAGTTGTCATAGGAAAAATAAAATAATTAAAAAAATACCCCAAAACAAAACACCAAAACCTTTCAGGTATTTGCTCTTCATAAAGAAGACATTAAGACAGTAGATGGTAAGAAGAAAAAATCTCCAAATACTTTAGTAGTCACATTTCCATCCTACTGAAGGGAACTGTGCACCTGCCTATGGGTTCAGCATGACACAATGAGAAGTTTCCAGTTCTTACCGTTGAAGAACTGTGAAGATAGTTAATAGTAGCATTTTAATTAAATTATTAAAATGTAGCAACTACTTTATTATTTACATTTAGTTTTGGAATAATATTAACTAGAATGGTGAAAGTGGCTTGTGCTGTTCCACTTAACATATGCTTTGGTGATGAAAATAATGTCTGGATTCATAACTCTACCATGTGACACTTAAGCTTTTATTTTAAAGATTTTTTTCTTAATTATATAGAAACATTCATGGGGATTATGTTTAGATAAACTTTCAACTGTTGTGTATTTTGAGCCTAACCAGAAATTGACATGAATTGTATTTTTTCTATCTTTACTTTTCATATTACTGTATTAACTTTTTAATACACATGGGGTAAATGTTTCTACAGAGAAGAGAGAAATGATCTCAGAATTTCAATGCTAGGTGGAAACCTCTAAAAAAAAATGGGAGGACAAGAAACAAGGAAACACAAACTCATAAACTCAGCCAATTTTCACATATGATATACTAAAACACATGCTCGCAAATAGACTCACCAAGTAGCTGACTTTCATGACAAAGCAGTGTAACAAAAGCACTGAATGATAGGACTGAATTTTGGTTGGGTTTTTTTCAATGCATATGTTGCTGTTACTAGGAATCTTTCCAGGTAAGGGCAGATACCCAGTGCAAGAAGTAATTTTTTCACTGTATGTTTTCATATGTGTAATTATTACAGAAGAGGTAATTTCTCTTATGTACTGCTAGTACTAAGGCAGAACATAATCCTTGACCATTTTGCCAAATACATACAAACCACAGAACAAGCATAATTAAACATCCATAAGATGCAAGTCTGTCCCCATAAAAATCATACAAGTATTCCCAAAACACTGGAGTCTCACTTTCTGTCAGAAAATCTCACATTGATGGAGTTTCCAGGAGTCAAAAGTCCATGAGTTTTGGCATGAACTGGTTCAGTTTTGGGAGAAATTTTGATCTCAAAATTCTGAAGCAACTGTGAAAATAAACAGGACAAATATTACAAAAGCTGCAGAATTACAGATGAAGATTAGACTTTGGAGTAGAGAACGTAACAGACTGTTATAAACAAAATTTCTGTTGCCAGTTCTGTGACGTCTAAGTGCTATGATTCCCACACAGAAAAAATAGTTGTTAGAATGTGAAGATCACGGTTAAAAATCTTTCTCCTTTGACTGAGGGAGGACTGAGCCAGTCCTTTCTGAAGAATTTCCACACAACTTGATTAAACAGTCTGAGCTATCAAAGAAACTAAGATCTCTTCAAACCTTGTGAGACAGCAACTGTCCAGTGCACCAAGTAAAACAATTGTAGTTCAAGAAGTCAAATATTAAAGCCTCTCCTGAGCAGAATCACTGTAATTCAATCATCCAGGTTCTCCATACATTAAAATTCTATTTCCATACACTTAACAAAACTGAGAATCAATCGCAAATCAGAGAAATAATGGGCTAAAAGAAACTTCAAGAGATCTATCTTACTCGTCCTGAGGCTGAGCATAGAATACCTGCTATCTATTTTTAAACCTTCAAGAAGGACATACCATAGCATCCTCAACTTTTCCTAACTCTCTATCACTTAGTCCTATACACTAAGCAATCTTCTCTTATCCTTCTAGTAAGCATGATGAGCAATGTGTTATTTTCCTATATATAACTACCTTTTAGTGTTACGTCTTTGATGAAATTTTCATCTCATTCTTCTCTTTTTCAAGCCCCTCATCTTTCTTATTCTCTCAGTCTTCCCCCCATTTGACTATGCTGTCCTTAAAATGTAGCACACAGTTTCAGTTGTATATCATTATCTAGCCAAGTATTTGTCAGACTGTTAAGACTGGGTAATTTAACTCCTCTTTCTGATATACAACATGCTTGCTAATACTGTTAGTATACCCAAGAATATCACTGCTTCATCAGAATTAGCATAATTATCACTAACAGATTTTTTACTATTTCCCTCAAGTCTGTTTCTATAGTACTAATTACCCAGACAGTCAGCAACTTGTAGTTACGCAACTGATTTCTTCTGCAGGCAGTAACTTGCAACTTTCCTCAGTGAACAATTTTGTGTTGATTCTGGAACATTTCTCCATTTTTTCATAATTCTTTATTCGCATCCTTTGATTTTAACTTCATTCATGTCAGCTTGGTATCCTATGCAAACACTAAAAGCATTCTCTAATCCATCATTTCCACTGTTAATGAAAATACCAATCTAAATCAAATGCAGGACAGTCTTACAGAATTTTAATAAAATGCTTTCCCAGTGCAACAGCTGCTGCCTCCAGCTATTTCTTTTTTCTAATCAGTTGTGCATGCATTTTATAGGTACTTCCATCTGGAACAAATTTTATTAGTTTAATTATGAGAACAATGTATAAGACATGAAAAATACTTCCTGAAGTACCTTGATGCTTGTAAATACATTCTGTGCTATTTTGTTCCAGCCTCTTTCCAGGAAACAAAAGCAGGCTCACTATTACTTCCTTGATACTCCTTTTAAAAAAGAAGCAAGTATGTTTGTTTTATCCAGCCCCCTGAGAGCTATCTCCCTGTGAGTTCCAAAAGACAGACACTTAATTGTTCAGAGATTGCCCTAGGAGTTTACTTAAGGGAATTCTAAGGTAAATTCAATCAAGCTTTGCTTTGAATACATATAATGGTCTAAATATTTCTATAGATAAGTAACTATAAATAGTTTCCAAATTTTTGCACAATCTGAGCTCAGTATTTGCATTAAATGGTGTCTTCTAAATGACAAAAAATGCAGCAGCTGTTGTGAAGCTTTCTTTATGATATGATGCAATGGAAACCTATATATATATGTAGATACTAACTACTTATGTAACTATAAATTATGTATACCCAAAGTAATAATAAGGTTAGAAGGAAGAACAAAAAATGACAGAAGACTACAGAACATAGAATATTCTACTATTTGTCATTACACTGGGGTCATTACAGGGATATAAAAACTACTTCATGTATTTGTAAGTACTGAATTCTTCATAACTAACATACTGAAACTGAGCAGATGATAATTGTAGTTTACATTAAGAAAGACTTCAAATTTGCTTACAGAAACCTTCTATACTGAATCTATATATTTCCTTAAAAATCTTACCTTTATTTGTACTATAAGGATTTTTAATTCTGCAATGTAGTTTAACTAGAATGCCACATTTCAAGCATCCTTTGCAGGGTAAGTATATTAAACAACACTCAAAGTTTTTGAGTACTGTAAGATATCCAGAAATGGTATACATAGAAAAGAATCATACCAATATATTTTTCTTCTTGTAATGCTGTCACATAGATCTAACCTGAATCAGTGCAAGATGAATTTCCAACTCTGCAACTCTTTTTCCTATACAACTTCGAATGCCATAACCAAAGGGGATGGAACCAAAATTGTCTACCCTGTCGAAGTTATCTTTCCTCAGCCAGCGCTCAGGTCGGAACTCATTTGCCATTGAGAAATTTTCTTCACTGTATGAAGTAGCATAATGACAGAGTGCCAGCTGCGTCTGAGGAAATAAATCATATTTATACTTCACTAACTCCGATATATATAACAAAATACAAAAGTATTTGTAATTAATGCCATTCCTGCAATATGAGGTGATAAATATTAAGTACCTTTGAGTAATTCTAGAGAAAAAACGGACACCTGGAATATCAGATCACATTCTCACCTGGTTGAATGAAATAATCTTCAAATTGTTTAAAATGTTGCTGGATACATTAGAGAAGATGAGTAGGGAAGAGGATGGGAACAAAAGTCACAAGTACTGGGAACTGTCTCAGTATGAGAAAAAGGGAAAAGATACAAGACAATAGAAAAGAAAAAAAATAGATGGTGAGAAGAAAAAAACACCACACCACCTCAGGAAAAAGAACAGCAATAATTGATATGATGATGTTTCCAAATTAATTGGGGGGGTGGGGTGGGTGGGGGAGAATAGAAGGATCTGTGTGGAATAATATTTAAATAACTGTATTAAGAATTAGGAATACTAACTGATTTAAAGTTACATTGCTTTAACAGGAATGCTGCCATTTAAAATAGACCCATACAGTTCTACCATGATCTCTGTGCAATCTTTGCTGGATTTAAACAGTGACAATAGTATAAAAAAAAGATTCATAATTTTAAAAAGAAATTAAACTCTTTCTACAAAGGGAATTAACAGGCAAAGAATCAGAAAACTGCAAGAATAACGAAATTAATGCTTTTAAATGAAATTGTAACATTGCACAGAGAATTTAATAGACTACACCTACAAGTCATGAGGACAAACTTAAAAATCCCCAGCATCAACAAAGTCAATTATAAAATCCAGTTTTGTCATATAAATGGTTATGATTGAAATATTTTCCTCTTAATGCTCTAACTTGGTGAAATCTTTTAAAATCAATTAAGTGGATATATACTGCAAAAGATCACATTCATACACAAAAAATAAACTGTGTTCTCTGGAGAGGACTACACTAGAACCTACCCCTTTAGGTATCAAGTATCCTCCAACAATCAAGTCTTTTTGGGTCACTCTTCCATTTCCTGGCAATACTGGATATAACCTAGAGACAAATATTTATAAGAAGTAATATCTAAATACAACTTTAAAAGTTTAGATTCCAATTTGCATTTGCAAATATGCGTTATGAACGCAATATGCATTCACAGCAAAAAGGTTTTTCAAAAGTACAGAACACCTTGGAGATTCAAAAGCCTTGAATCATCTCTGAGAATGTGATTAATAACTGAGAAAATTTATTACTAGTAACTGGAGGTTGAACTGTTTGGCCTGTATATTTATTTTCTTTACACATGTACAAAAAAAATGCAATCAACTTGTCAAGCTGGAGATGTTTTTGCACTACTAGGAGCTGAAAAAGCCTTGTTGATGCCTTCCCTAAAGTCCTCTTACTGCCCTCACCTCACTATGAATGTTTGGTATAAACATTAAAAAAGTAAGCCACATGCCTTCAATTTAAATCAAGAAGCTTAAAATCACTGTAGTAGCACTGCAAAGTACCAGTGTGGGGCAGGAGGCTGTTACAGTCCATCACAGAGATTAATACTTTAAAAGGCAAAAATCTAGCTTTCAATTACTTACCTTAACAGACATGTCTTACATATGTCATACTACTTCTATCACACTAAAAACATTAAACATTATACAATCGAACATATTTCATTGCTTAGGCATCCTTGGACACAAGACTTATACAACAAATAAAAGCAGAAGCAGCAAACAGCCGTAACAGCAACCAACTACAAATGTTAGTATGGACTCAAAATCCACTACAGCTACATGGAATAATTTTTTTTAATTAATGATTATAGTTGTCAGCTACCTACTTACCTCAAGGTTTCTTTCAGCACAGCTCTAATCAAAGGCAATTTTGGGATATCATGGGAGACAGGAACTTGGTCTTTCCCCAGTTTATTGACTATTTCCTCATAAACACATTGTTGAACCTTTGGGTGCTTTGCCAACATGTATGTTGCCCAGGACAAAGTAAAAGAAGTCTAAGGAAGAAAGCACATAACCAATATCATCAAGTTCAACAAAACTAGTTTAAGAATAACTTCAAGCCAAGAAAAACAACCAGTTTTCAACTATGTGTTTCATAAATTTATGGTTATAAAACAGACTGTCAATGATTCATATCTGGACTCAATGAGATGTTGTCAGACATCACCAGCCCTCCTTCATCGTTTTTCCATCCAAAAATCGCCCACATAACAAAACAATCCATGCTGATATTTTTCTAGTGATATATAAAAAGCAACAGAAAAACAAATGCAATCAAAACTACATGAACACTCTAAACAAAAATGGATTAAGTTAACTGTTAGTTTTCAATATGTGTTTCACCTTTCTTCCCAACAAAATTGTTTCACAGGAAGCAAGAGAATACACAGGAATCAAGAGAATACTACTCAGATTACCAACCCCTTTTAAGCATATGGTGGTCTCCTATTAGCCTCCACACAACAGATGTGATATCATCACTAAGATTATACCTCATCCTTTGGTAAGCAGTGCTACAACACAGCTAGCACTTTCTACCTCACAAAAATTCTCATTTGACTAAAATTCAGCATTCTATTGACAGCTTTCTTAAGGAAGCTTGAAGAAGAGCTTATACATTCAGAGTGGCCCAAAAAAAGTTAAAATATACTCCCCTCCTAATTAATGATGTGAATAAATAGCAAGGCTCCAGAAGAGAGGTACTGTATGAAAAATAATTTTAAAATATTTTGTATAAAGGAAGAAATGGGACACAAGGCAGGAGACAGTTCAACTCTGAGCACAAGATAATTTAAAGGAACCCATCATCTAATCCTCTTTCACCTCAGCTGGAAATGGTGCACTTCAATGCACTTTTCTGGTTTAGGACACATTCTGAGATCATGCACTCTATCTGTACTAACATGGAAACAAGTACAGTGATCCAGTATTTACCATTATTTTAACCATGAGTCCCCTCTGTTTAAGCTACATGGATTTCTCAGGCTATCCCACTCAAATACTAGACAGACTCTGGACACTTTGCTTCTACTGCCACTTGCACCCAGACATCAAGGTCAAGCAAATAGCCTTACTTGATCCTGTTTCCCTCACAACCATCACTGAAGAAGAAAATTTACCATGAAAATGTATTTTCAGTGTTCCTCAGTAATTATGGCAAAGTGACAATGCAATCATTCTGTTTCTTACCTATATTGTTCTTAGTAACTTCATAGAACCATAAAATGGTTTGGGTTGGAAGGGACCTTAAAGATCATCCAGTTCCAACCCCCCTGCCATGGGTAGGGACACCTTCCACTAGACCAGGTTGCTCAAAGACCCATCCACCCTAGCTTTGAACACTGCCAGGGATGAGGCATCCATAACTTCCCTGGGAAACCTGTTCCAGTGCCTCACCACTCTCATAGTGAAGAATTTGTTCCTAATATCTGATGTAAACCTACCCTCCTTCAGTTTAAAGCCAGTTCCCCTACTACTACATGATGTTGGAAAAAGCCCCTCTCCAGCTTTCCAGTAGGCCCCCTTTAAGTACCAAAAGGCTGCTGTAATGTCTCCCTGGAGCCTACTCTCCTCCAGGCTGAACAAGCCCAATTCTCTCAGCCTGTCTTCATAGGAGAGGTGCCTCAGCCCTCATCTTTGTAGCCTTCCTCTGGACTTGCTCCAACAGGTCCATATCCTTACGTTGGGGGCCCAGAACTGGATACAGTACTCCAGTTAGGATCTCATGAGAGTGAAGCAGAGGTGCAGAATCACCTCCCTTGGCCTGCTGGTCATGCTCCTTTGATGCATCCCAGGATACAGCTGGCTTTCTGGGCTGCAAGTGCTCTTTGCCAGGTTATGTTGAGCTTCTAATCAACCAGCATCTCGGGGCTGCTCATATTCCAGTCTCCGCCCAGCCTGTATTTGTGCTTGGGATTGCCTCAACCCAGGTAGCAGGACCTTGTATTTGGCCTTGTTGAACTTCAGGAGGTTTGCACCAGCCCACCTCTCAAGCCTCTCAAGATCTCTCTGGATGGCACCCCTTCCCTTCACTGTGTTGACAGCACAACACAGCTTAGTGTCATCAGCAAATTTGCTGAGGGCACACTCAATCCCAATGTTGATGTTGCTGACAAAGATGTTGAATGGCACTGATCCCAATACCAACCCCTGAGAAACACCACCCAACACTGGTCTCCACTTGGATATTGAGCTGTTGACCATAACTCTGAGTGCAGCCATCAAGCCAATTCCTTATCTGCTGAGTGGTCCATCCATCAAATCCATGCCTCTCCAATTTAAAAACAAGGATGCTGTGCAGGCCAGTTTTAAATGCTCTGCACAAGTGCAGACAGATGATGTCAGTTGTTCTTCCCTTATCCACCAGTGTTGTAACCCCATCATAAAAGGCCACCAAGTTTGTCAGACACTATTTGCCTTTAGCAAAGCCATGCTGGCTGTCACCTCCTCATTTTCCATGTGCCTTATCACAGTTTCCAGGAGGATCTGCTCCATGCTTTTGCAGCACTTCAGACAGAAAAATTGTAACTTCTACCACAATTTTTCTGAATTATTTTTAAGTATATTTTTTCAACTTGTATAATGAAGAGAGACAAAAAGTTTCCTATGTAGAAAGTGAAACAGCTTTATTGTTAGCTTCTCATTCATTGGTACAAGAAAGCATCAGGTTATGAACAATGTATGGGTAAAAAAAACAACTTCCTGAAATGTCCTATTTTGGGCTTATATCTAAGAAAAATTTAGAATCCAAATTCATCATGTCTTGTCTTCAAACAAGAACCTTTCTTTCTTTCTTCTTGCAATATTGAGTGTCCCTTGCTAAAATGCAACCCTGTTTTATTCCTCTTGGAGCTCAGAGGAGCTGGCAATTGTGCCAGCTGTATACAGAACTCTGATACAAACACTGTTTCTTCCCAGGTTCCCAGCTCCTTCATAACCTCTTAAAAATTAGCACTGTTCCAGGGACAGCCAAAAGGCTTTGTAGCTAAAACCTGCCTTACAATTTTGTTGAAAGCTTTTATAACCCTCTAAACCTCTTTCAGTTTCCATGATAAAATGAGAACTGAAGTGACAGCGGTAGGGGAAAAGATTCCCTCAGTTTCAGTCTTGCACTTGAAAATGAGGAAATCAGAAGTACCATTATCTCACAAAGAAAAAAAAAATGCTGCTGGCTGAGAAAGCTGAGTCAAATGGAAAGGGAAAGTTGTTGGCATGAACTTGAACCTTTTCCTTTTAGTTTAATGAAAACTCTGTCACACACTAAGAATGGAAAATTAATGGTATGAAATATTAGAAAATGAACGGGATGAATAACTGTGCTTTACTTGAGAACCAAACATCAAAAAGCTCTCCAAACTCATAAGCCCTTTGGGATATTTAACCAATGAAACAATCTTTGGCACATAAAGAAGTTTTACATATGCTCCTTATGTTGGAATTCAGAAGTACTACGTTTTTTTTTTTTACAAACTTTCTTAAATAAAAAAAAAAATATCTGATTTCGGTTACCCAGAGAGGGTTTTTACTTTATGGCTACTTTACTTTTTAACTAATTTTAATCTTTAATACTGTAACTGTTAAACAGTCCTACATAGCACTTTCTTTATCAAATTCATATACTTTAAAAATTTGTTCAGTTACACTCATTTACAATAAATGTTCACTGATATTCTGAATAACTCTGTATACATTGTGTATACAACACAATAACTCATTTTTATCCTTTCTCATTCTTCAGATTGTCATGCTGCAGTTAATACCAAGCTACACTGATGACAGGAATGAGAGGAAGAGAAGATACATACCTGACTTTAATATTTTTTCAAACACTCTAGATGACAAATCAGAAGAATGAGGAAAGATGGCCACATAGAATGCTTCACTAGGTGTTAACATATTCCATACATTAACCTCATTAATACTGAGCCCCGTTACCACAGCTCTTTGCCTCAGACTGACTGTATGTTGCCAACACAAGCATGGGTGAATTTATGCCTATCCACATTAGTGCTTGTATAACACCCACCTCCTAATAAATTTTTCAATAGAACCCAGGAGCCAATCCATAATATGTGCCTCAGTTGATTTAATCAGCCACACAAGAAAAGCCTTTACCAATTTTTACCTATGAATTTACTGACCAATTTTTTTCACACTAACTTTCAGCAGCCTTTTTTATTTGTGGTCTACCTAAAGAAGCACAAATACCAACCCAGTATTCAAACTAGTACAAGAAAGTGTATGAAATTCAAGCTCAATTGTAAAGACAATTGTTATTTTATCTGTTTAAGAAACTGCAGAACCCAAAGTGATGGGTTCCTAGCTAGGACAGAACACCAATTTCATTCCAGCAGAGAGATTACAAAGTGATATATTTTCTACCACTTTAAAGGTGTCATGACTTAAATGTGTCAGAATTTATGTCCTTATAAACAATATAAACCCCCTGAAGACTGCTGAAAATTATACTGATTTGAAAACAACTGTGCACAAGAAAAATGGTAACAAGCTTACTGTGTCCACTCCTGCCAGAAGCATTTCAGTCATATTGGCATAGATCTCTTCCAAAGTAAGTTCCTTACTCACTAGGAGGTATGTAAGTAGCCCACCATTCACTTCTTCTCCTCGATCCAGCTGAGACTGAATAGCCTTCAATTTGTTGTCAACATGGATCTGACCTTTGGTATAAAAAAAAATAAAAATAATTAAGCGTCCATTTTTATTTTTCTGCTAGTTTCAGACAGTAATGACATTTCTCCCTTATGGTACACTACATATAAAAATAAAACAAATTGATCTATTTTCTCAAGGAAAAGATAACAGAGTAGTAGTGGAGGTCCCTGGGTACTTATGGTAAGGAAGACTGAGCTGACAGGAACCTAGGTAGCTCACAGCATGAGTGCTGAGTGCAAAGAAACGACACAGGAGACTATAGCTTCTGATGGGGAATGAAGGAAGCTGAAGGTCAAGTCTTTCTGCCCACCTGGCTTGTTTTCTGATGACCCTGCTAGAAGTGGTGAACTCTGCAGAGCATGCTGTAACTCAGCACACAGAAGCTGCTACAAGATGTTAGCTGCAACCAGGTCAAAGCCACAGAACTGAATTACACTGAAGATGAGGAGCATCAAGTAATAACAAAAACTGAAAAACATCAGTGAATGACACTTTGAACAAGTCCACCCACAATCCCATTTATACCTCAATGATTACAAACAGCATCTTCAGTGAAACAACGGCTTCAAAAAGAGGAAAAACCCTCAGAAACTTAATTCCTCACAGAATGAACTTACAAAAAAAGGAACTAGAATTAACACGTTCCTTTGTGAAGCCTACACAAATACACACTTATCACATAGTGATTTTCACCATTTGATTCCTTTCTCAGAAAGTTATTCAACAAAGAAACAGCATCACAAGTTTCAAATGGAACAAATTCCCCAAGAACAGTTTTTCAGCCACTGTTAGGACAAAGCTGAAGTCTCTGTTATTTTTAACCCATAAGAGGCAACAAAAGTACATTATTGTGGGAAATAATGTGAAAGTGGCAGTATAAGAATGTACACAGTTCACACAAAACACACTTAAATCAGCATTAAGTGGGTCCCCTAATGCCTACATGTACAGATCTATACATATTAAAAAATAAGCACACTAGGTGTACTAAAGGTTAAGAAACTAAAGAATCTGACCTCAGGAAGTTGTACACAAACCTAACTAGAAAAATAGTGCTAATAAAATAAAATTAAAAATGCTTGCATCTTTCTAACATTAGAGAAAGAAAGAGGGTCCAAAATACTAAAAAAAGAAAAAAAAATATTGCAAAGACAAGTCTTTCTTCTTACATGAAAGCTGATTCATAAAGTAGCCTGGAATGCTTTATTTACAAAAAAAGCATACTGTAGTACAGCAGTATATGTCTGTGTCAACTTACATGCTTGTATGGTAGACATATAGTCTTCAGAAAGAGTATCATTAACTGCTAAAGTCTAATTTTTTAACTTTCTAGTTAATTTTAGTGGTGATTATTTGTCAAGAGTACCTGACTGAAAATAATTCAAACTAGTAACAACAAAACTACCTTCATTAAAATCTGAGTGGCTTAAGACAAAGTCTCGGCAAAGAACTCAAACCTGGAGTAAGGCCCGGGTGCTGGAAAAGATGAAGACAAGCAAAGAAACAGCAGTATAAAATAGGGAATATTTAAAGTGTACCGGTAAATTTTCTTTTCAATAGAGTATGGTTTTTAAGTGGTTCCTCTGGCCAGCCTGTGTTTAATGTGAAACTTACTTCTGCCACAATGTCTTCCTAGAATTTTAGAAAAGAAATGCAGCAAGTCCTGTTAAAACACACAAAACCTGCAGAAACACAGCCGAACTTTTCTACTACTAAATCTTACTAAATTTGAAGAGTCCATCCCAGGATCTGCAGAACTCTCTCCAGGGTTTTGGAATAAGTGGACGAAGCCATTTGGGAATAGCACCTGCATACATAGTGGTCTTGAACATACTAAACATCAACTCCAGAGCCTCAATATATTCAACAGTCTGCTGCGGGACGTGGTTTTCCAGGCAGCCCAACCGGCATTCATACAGAATAGTTGCCACACCTGCACATATGAAATCAAAGAATTTGCTATACACATGCATAGATACATAATAATAATTTAAGGAATTAAAATGCTAACATAATGGAACTACCTTCCAAAAATATTTAGTTATTATTACTGCAGTTGGGAGCAAATAAAATTAAATTTAAAGCAGTAAAAAGTCCCAGCTAAACAGTGTAGGGAGACAGTGGTTGCTATGTCAGTAATGCTCAAAAGAGAAAACAGCCAGGAATTCCACCAGAAGTAGAGCAGCCCTCCAGCATGTTTGCTGTGTTTTGCATTGCACCACAAATCCTGAGCCTGATGTGTTGGCCTCTGAACACACAAGGACACCCAACTCCAAAGGCATTTCTGATAACTGTGGTGACATCTGAAGTTACAAGCAGTGACTATGCCTTTCTTTGTCATAAGCTGGTAGTAAATGAATAATGAGTATGCACAAACAGAAAAAGAGCTTGCACTCTAGACAGTGATTCTACTGCATGCAATATATTCCATGTAACCCAAAAAATCAGCAAGCATGTGACACTGTTGCAAGTAACAGTGTTGACTCATCTCGTCTTCTTGACTTGCTATAATTTCCTCAGATTTTTTTCTTCTGTAATATTGCAGTGATCACTACTAGAAATACCATTTTCCCCCACCAACAAACAGTACTTATGTATATTTTCAGTAAATTATTCTTCTTCCCAACTCTGGACTATCTCTTCCCTTTATTAGTTCTTACCTGTCCATGAGTGTCCCTGCAATCTCTCAGGTCAGTTTTATAAACATACCCAAACTATAAAATACTAGACAAAACTCAGCTGGGAACTGCCCTACTGGAGTAAGCCAAAATGTTCTTTCAGTTTGACAGCACCATTTATTAATTACTTCCTGAAATGGGTTTCTAGCAACTTTTCCTCTCAACTTGCAAAATCTAGATGACATTACCCAGTTTATTAATTAAAATATCACATGGTATCGTATAAAAAGCACACCTTTTACCAAAATAATCTTATTTAATGATTTTTATCAAATCCAGTAGGGAAATTAGGAAATTTAAAAAGGCATTTAGATAATTTCTCAAAGCCATTTGCACCAAATCAAATGTTTTAAATAAATGTTGTGCTTTTAAACACATTAGCAGTTTGTCCACATCTTTTCAGGAAATATTAGAATAACTATTAACTAGATAATTAGAATAAGTGGTCTATTAACACTCTAGTCTCTTTTCTGTTTTTTCTTTTAAAAGCAGAGTACAATAGATAATGATGGTTTACTTTGCTCTTCCCCTGCATCAAACTCTCCATAAATTCTCGAGTATATATACATGTAGATATTTTAAGAAAATTTCATTTTTCGCTGTTCTTTGCTTTGTATTTAATCTTTAGAGACAAAAATAATTTTAAAATCTGGCTATTTTCAACCCACTCTTCTTTCTCTAATATTCCTCCCTGGGAAGATTATTTTTCTGTGCCTTTTATTTCTCTTGTGCCTCTTTCAGCCCCTGCTAGCTCTTACACATTCTTCAGCTCTTTACACAGTCCTTTCAAAAAAATCTTACACATTGGCTCCCTGAACATTTGACGGTGTAAGTTAATTAAAACCACAACTCATATAGGAAGTAAGTGCATGCCAGGCACAAGTTATAAATGAAAAGCTAAAGGCATGCAAAGAATTTAAACCAACCCATCAGTTAAAGTGAATCTGTAAGCTCAAGATTTTAAAATTCCATAAAGTTGGTAAATCTTAGTTTAATGCCATTTTTAGAGATTATTAATGAAGAACAGACTCAGGTTAGTTTACCAAAAGGCAGACACCAATTTGATACAGCATCTTCATAGATGAGCAATTTGGAAGTTCATACAAAGCTCAAATGATTCAGCTGCCTATCAGCAGAGTACCTGTGTTTTTAAAAGGTGCTATGTGTAACAAGATCAAGTTCTATGCAGTCAGTTAAAGGAATGCATGAAATAGAATCACCACTAAGATTTCTGTAAGAACACAGGAAATACCATAATAGCTCAGGCTGGAGTTCCATTTAGCATTCCCTCACTAATGGTAGCTAGTTGCAGATGACTTTAAAGCAAGCATAACAACCCTACACTTGGCACGTGTAAGCATCTGAAAGCAGTATCTTTTCCCACATTAAGCTATAAAAAGAATTAAGATCCATCACACAGTGATTCTCCACCTGGAATTTGGATAGTGTGTTGTTAAATTAACATGTCTTCAAAGTCAATTAGAAAGTTAGCACCCTTATTCTTGTGAAATTAATACAGAAATACAGAGTACTGAAACTGCTCAGGACCTTGATTGCACATTTTACGTATATGCCAGCATTTCCACAGGAATTAACCCTTACTACAAGGTATCATCTCTTCGGAGTCTACAAAGGAATTCTACTGATAACTGCTGTACTAAGTAGGAAGACATCTGAAAGCAGAATATAAGGATCCCCTTTTCAGGTTAATCACAAAGGGGCACTAGTCATTTGCCAAAAATGCCTAACCTTAAACACACTGCTTTACATCCGCTTTCTTTACAGATGTTATACAGCCTGGGCTTACCTTCCATTGAATACTTGAAGAAAAGGTTGTTAACATTGGTCACTGTTTGCCCATCATCCTCTTGACTTCTGAGGGTGTGGATTCTTTTAATTAAGTCTGTGATTACTTCATTGACTCCCTCAGAGTAAACAGCCACATCTTTGGGTTTCAGAATTTTCTGCCTCAGTACACTCCGCATTTTTAGCCATTGTTCCCCCTCCCTAGAAGAGATTATTCATAATGTCTATACACAATTTTCCTTAACAAACATCAACTGGTAAGAGCTTCTCAATGAAACCATTTATGATTTTTCGTGTCGAAAGAAAGTGGTGAAAATTATGATCACGTGTACTTGGTATTATGCTGCTATAGTTTTATGATGTATTTATTGTATATCCTCATTAAATTTCAGTGTTGCAACATGTATGTACAGGTGCAAGTCAACCTCTGGTTTCAGTGACAGAAGTTGTCCACTTGGTATTTTGAACTTGACAAGTGCCTCTGTACCAGTATTTTAGTAGTAGCTAACACAAGAAATTAACAAAATTTGCTTATTAAAATTACTTTAAATAAACATTTGAATTATTTAAATGTTTATTTAAAATGTTTATTTAAAATGTTTCAAACAAACCAAAAAATTGTTTTTACCTAGAACCGGTGTTTAATTATCAAAGACAGGTAACACATTCAGATTCGACAAATCAAGGATCTGATCTAGTATCATAAATTCCATTTCTGATACATCACTTTCAGGTACCCTAATTCTAAACCTACGAAGTAATATGATAGCAGACCCAGCTATAAGGAAACAATTTACATCTGGATTTTCCTTTAGCTGAGCTATGTATCAAAATCTTTGTGCTGAAGACTAAAAATCTGAATTGCAGCATCTGCATGCTTTGTATAAGCAGAGTATTTGGGATCAGTGGTTCCAGAGATACCTTTCTATTCCTTATGAAGACAGGCAACTGCCTTTTATACATTTATTTTAAATTGCCATGTATTCTCCCCCTCCTTTTTTTTTTCTTCACCTGGAGCAATGCTGCTGCAAGGTACTTACTGACCAGCAAAATAATCTCTTTAGCAGACATTTTCTGACTCTCTTAAGATCTCATCTAACAAAATATAAAGAACTATTAGTTCAACTTTGAACTGCACTGAAGATTTGAGTCTGCAGTGCAACACATAATGCCTTTTCCTACCAGTAAAGAAACAGACTGGCCATGACTCTGGAAATCAGTTTCTCTCTAAACAAACATCCAAAGTCAGTGGGGATGGCGAGCAGTTTGCAGTGGCAACTAACCACACCCACATGCACTGCCAGTTTATGGAAGCTTTACAGACAGAAAAGTTCTAGAATCAGCCATGTTAAAAAATATCTGCATGGGGATGCCCTATAGTGTGTATTTACCACACAGTAACTCCTTCGCATTGACTCACTGAGAGGGGCACTTCAATGAACAATAAAGCTAAAGCCAACCTGAGTCAACAAGTCTACAGAGCACACTTGACAACTGGATGCGTCTAGCAGTAAAACCACCTTTGCACAGTGCTGTTCCAAAATTAATAAGCCCTGTTCTGCAATACTGCTAACAAGTCAGTCAGCTCAGACAGCTCTAGTTGATATACATTCCTCAAGAATGCTTTAGGGCAAGGTAGCTTACTCCACTTTCTAACTACCCATCATTACCATCCCTTTCAAAATTTACAGCAGAACAGACAATTCACTATCAGTTCTTACGCTCTACCCTCCTCTAGACAAATTCCCCCACACAGAAAAGCCTGAATTCCTAGATGACCTGTAGAGTCCTTCAGAAAATCACTAAACTTTAACAAGAAAACAAAGAAAATGAAGGAGTAGCAACACTTACGCAGAAATAAGTCCAGTGGCTCTCCCTCGCAAGTCTCTGTACTCCTGCCAGGATTCCATGTTAGCTCTTTGTGGTGCTCTACCTTCTGCTCGGAGGACTTGAGCAACCATATCTCGATCTGCAATGGATACAACAAACTGGGGACCAAAGTGAGACTTGAAGATCTTTCCATACTCCTGAGTGTGTTTTTGCTACAATATCACCAACAGAGAAACAGAAGTAAAGTATTACTAAGTAAAAATATCACAAAAGGAAACTGTCAATTTGTCCTACAGTGAATCAATCTATGACATCTAGAACTTGATCACCAGGCTTCCATTCAACAAATGGTTTGGAATGTCAGCAGAAAGCATCTAAGCATTACTGTGGAATATTCACAAGGAAAACAGAGAGGTCACACCTCTGACTGAAAAGACCCAAAGCTGTAAGGCACTGAGTGTGAGTGAAACCAAATACCAAGAAGATGAAAGGACTTGGGGCACATAAAAACACATCCCTTCAGATCAAACAGGTTAAAAAGAATGTCTGAGAAAATGAAAAATGAGGAGGCAAATAGGTGAAATGAACAGTAGAATACAAAAATATAATAATCTACTTTTAAAGTCCTTTGTAAATATTTAGTGTACCAATTTGTTCTTTATAAATAACTACTTACAAGTTTCTCACACCTAACTGAGGACTATGACAGCACAGCAGCCTAGTGAAGAACTGCATTTTGGGACAGTGTCATTAGCAATTTTCTTAGAAAGACATACGTTAATTCTGCAAAAGGAAGAAAAAGTTAAGGTCTTATTCCAGCAGTGAGGTTTATTTAGTGGCTGATCTACAAGTTGCATGATTCAAGCTGGAGGCAAGCAACAGGCAATTAAGGCTTAGAAAACATTATGTATTAAAAAAAAAAAAAAAAGTTTTCCAGTAAGATTTGTGCTATCACTGTACCATTAAATTTTACTATTTCAAATAAATTTCGTTCTGATATGGTAATTAAATGAATGACCCAACTCCCAGGAGTTCACTTGGAGTACAGGTACTTTAGAGGCAAAACCCCCCAAAACTGAAAAGGAGTTGCTAAAGAGCTATTCTCAGGAATTTGAATTTAAGAAAGCTTTAAATTTTAACACCTTTAGTTCAGCTTAAAGTAGTAAATGAGGCAAACCAACCAAAACTTAACTTTGACATATTACCTTGCAGAGTTACATTGATTATAAATCAAATGTTGCAGCAATCAGATTGTAAATAAATAAATAAATGTAAATAAATGTTGTATAAATCAGTTGTACCAAAGATGTTTGATACAACTACACTAGTGAAAGTTTAGTGTTGACCCTTGATTAACTTGCAATAAATATTTTTTTAATCAGTCTTGGTTACAGAGATGAATTTTTTAATTGCCAACAATAAGTTTAAGATAGATTAATCACTCTTCAGCATATCGTACCAAGTGCTTATATAAAATGTTAACTCTCCCAATTTTCCAAATAAAACAAGAGTTGTGCAATTGTGGTCTCTGCCAGTCTCCTCTTTACTACTTTTGGCGCACAATGGCCAATTTCAGTCAAGTTTAACAGAGAGTTAAAGGTCTCCTACAACTATATTCTCTACCATTTTCAAAAATCAGCGCCTGGATTCAAATGAGACACACATATTAGTCATCCTGATAAGGGAAATGCTACAATAGGAACTCAACTGTTATAATTTCTGCTTGATTGGCTGCTAACCAAACACCACATGCAGACAAGCATGCCATCCAAAACCCAGAGTATCTTCAGAGATACTGAAAATGAACCTGAGGACAAATGAGAGCATGAGTCTTTAGAGGAAACAATGAGTTGGGAGATGAGTGCTGCAAGGAAGAGGCAGTGGAATGAGGGGGATACGGGTCACCAGTCACAAAAAAACAGGTTCAACAAATTTTGCTATTCAGAGAGCAGCTTGGTTTTTCCACTAACAGTGAGGTTTACATGTGAGGATGAACTTTAAGAGAAAACAAATCAAGGGTGAAGCCATACAATCAAATAAATGAAATACTAATTTTAAAACAGAAAAAGGCAAGGACAATATATTTGGGCATCTCTTGCTTTTAAAACAGAATGATATTCAGTGCATCAATTTCATGTTTAAAAAAATGACAGGAATTTCTCTTCCATATTTTCTATCACAACATAGGTTTTCTTCCCCTTGTTCCAAAACTTAAAAATACTACACTTTAATGTCTCACATACCACTCTCACCCCTGGCATTTTTGCACATCATAAATTCAAACTGCCAGCATCCAAACCTTCCCCCCTCACCTTTCTTCATACTTGCATAGCACTGATGATACAAAAGGGATATAACCCCATCAAATTAAAAATACTTTCCCTTTGTCATAATTGCTGTAGGCATTACTGCTCTGGCCAGGAGTAACTGGAATCATGTTACTGAGAACAGAACCTCCTTTGTGAAAAAGGGCTCAGCTTCCCCACCCCTTCTGCATATAGCGTACAAATATTTGTGTGCACCAAAGGACATCGTTTAAGTAGCTGTGCAGGTTACCAAAGGGGTTCAGATTAATTCATTCCTGATGTTCACTGTATTGTTAAGTTTAACAGGCTGTTATTAATCCGGATAATGTCTATTTGCATCCAGCTGCTTATTTGCATCCAGCATGTACGCAAACAGGGCACTCATGACTTGTAAAGTGATTTTTGAGACTCAAAACAGAATAAAAATCAGTACCATACTGAAACTCCTCCTTATCCCTCCTCCTGCCTTCCTTTCTATGAATAATATTCATGAACGAATACCCATACCAGCTAGTGGTAGTGAAAAGCATATACTATGTAGTTTGTCTTACATTCCTTTTACTAGTTTGAATTATTTCCACTGTTCTGACAGTGAAAGAAATTGAATGCAAGAGTAGTTGGGGGAGCTTGGTTTGTTTGTTTTCGAGTTATGACTGCTGAGTGCCTCTTAAATTCTGTATACCACCACTGAGATAGAGAAAAAAAGAAACATAAACCAACAGAAAACTGCAACTATCATGAAGTTTCATCTGCATGTTCCTGGGTTAGCAAGCAATTAAGTTGAGCAATTCATCACTGGCAATCTTGTTTAGCTTTCATCAAACACAGCATGCACTGAGGAGCTTAACACTTGTTTTTATAGATCTAAATAGTAAATGCAACAGACAGGCAGAACCAAGCAACTTCCACCCCGGGGGGGGCCACCCCCCCCCCCCCTTCTGGTGTTTTTAGGTCTTTTGTAAATCCTAACTTTTGAGTTTTGATCCTCAAACCATTTAAAGTCCTGTCCTGTTCCCTTTGGCGTCCCTTTTCTGTTTTTACTTCCCGCTCTCTTTTTTTATTTCAGTGATTTTCAGGCAGTGAACTTCTTGGGGCTGTCTGTGAATTTCTTCCCAGCAACCTGAGAAAGGTCACTAAGAAAAGCAAAATAACAAATGCCACGTCTGAGGTATTCCCAAGAGATCTGTACTGCCAACGGAAGGCTTTACGGATCCACAACTGCAAAAGGATGAGAAACACTGCTTTGCTCCCTCAAACACACGTGCTCCCTTCACAAGCGCTTGGATTACATGGGGAAAGGGCCCCAGGAGATGCACTGTGACTGTTTAGGAATGAAACCCACGTGTTCGACCAAGCAGCCAAAAAAATCATCTTTTGGTACAGTTAGCCTTGCAGTAAGACAGTTACCCATCCCAGCATCCAGCAAACGCTGTATAGAGGAAGAATACTGGTCACCAGCTCCTGCTGGCACTGATAGCCGTGCTTCTCCCTTCGCAGGCTGCCGCTGAGAAGGGGTACACACTACACGCCGTGGCCCGTGCACCACCACAGACGTGACAGTGCCCAAACCACCAAGGACAGTTCTCAACCCCCATCCCCGGTCACATTTACTTCACCGTCTCCGCACCCCGACCGGCCTACTCCAGAGTCACCCACGCTCCAGGTGACAGGGGCCGCTCGCCGCCCTCCCCTCACCCCGCCATCGGGCCCCTCTTCCCGCCCTCCCCTCCCCATCACCGCGAGCCAATGGGGCTGCCGGGGGAGGGGGCGCGCGGGCAGCGCGGGCAGCCATCCCCATGCGTCGTCGTCCGTCGTCGTCTCCCCCCCCCCCCCCGCCCCCCACAGGGGGAGGTTTCAAGCCCCCAGCCCGTCTCCCGCTGCAGGGAGTGGGGCGGCAGCCGTGGGCCGGGCAGCGCTGACAGCGGCGCGGCCAGGCGCAAATACCGCCCCCTTCGGGGACCTATATATGCGAAGTGTATTTATGTAAGGAGAGGCCAGGACAGAAGCGAGGGCTGAAGAAACAAAATGGTCTCTTCCCCAGAACCCAGGGGCTGAGCTGAAGGAAGGAAGGCTGCAGGAGTCGCCCGCACGCTGCCCGGGCGGCGGCGCCTCAGCACGCCTGAGGCGGTCCCGGGTGGAAACGGCCCGGCACTGCCTCACCTTCGGGGCGGGTGCTGCAGTCCGAGGAAAGCCCATGTTTCCCGGCTCTGCCCGGAAAAAGTAAGCCCTGTGCAAGTCTGTGAAACCACCCAGTTCAGAAAGATGGATTGATTTTTTTTTCCCCTTTTTAATCTTAAGACACCAAGTCCAAAATAGGCATAAAGATCAAAAGGGAGAGCTCAGGCGCCCCGCGCACGGGGACGTGGGTTCCAGGAACGGGGTGCAGACACGGCTCACACAGAACGCGCTCACAGGCTCCTCACCGAAACAAAAACGCTAAACCCTACCAGTGGTACGGGAAAGGGAGATTGAATGGGAGGATCCTCTGGGTCGCCGCTCCTGGCTAACAGCGGGAAAGCGGCGATGAACAGCCACGGTGCTGCTAACCCGGTGTCTAACCAACGTTTTGTGAGGAGAGAAAAGTTTAAGCAATCCCGGAGTGAATAAAACATTAAATAGCCGAGTAAGCTGTACCTGGATTTCATGGATGCGGCCGAAGCCGTCCTTCCAGAAGAACTCGTACAGATTGTAGAGGGTGTTGGGTCCGGGCATTTCGTGCAGGCTCTTCACCCTGCCAAGCCGGCGCGGGGCGGGCTCCAGCAGCTCCCCTGCGCGCCCCGAGCCCCCCACCGTCGCCCCGTCTTTGTTCTCTGCCGCCGCTGGGGAGTTATTCTGCACCTCCAGGGACTGGCTGCTGGAAAGTTTGGGCAGCTGGTGAAACCTGCTGGCAAAAAGCGCGTGGTAGAAGGAAGTTCCCTCGGATTCAAGCGTCTGCTTGCATTTCATGGCCAGAACTCTCGTGAAGAAAGACATGTCTCAATTTCAGCAAGGTCCACTTTGCTCCTGCTGCTTTTTATTTGGTTGCTCCTTCTTCGCTGCCCGCGTTAACTTGTACAAGCAGCACTTCTTCAAACTCTTACTGCATGGGCATCAGTTTACAAAGACCATTATTTAACGCTCCCTCCCCTAGGGCTGGAAAAGGGGGGTGGGTCTCGGATGAGACTTGAATAGAACTAACCTATTATTTTGTATAATTCAAATCAGATAAATTTACCTATTAAACACGCATCCAAAGTTGAGGTTTCCCGTCTTTCCCCCATTGGTTTAGCAAAAAGCCCATGTAAGGATTTTAAGGATTAATCCTATCTTTCTCCTTCAGTAAAAAGGTGAGTTTGGGGCTATTTTTTCAGTGGCATTAATTCATTTCCGTATGTTGGAAAATCCTGCATTTCCTGTGAATTCTCTTAGTAATATTCATCATCTTGTAACGTACATAGAAAACATTTCAGCATCAACACACAAGTAGCAGTGGCTTTAAACAGTAACTTTACAAACAGTTTCTGTAAATTACAAGACCCAGAGATGTTATATGCATTGCAGAATGACTCCATAAGGAGCTTACATCAACTTCTGTAGAAAATAACCAGTGCCCTGTAATGGCATAGTGTTCCACCCCAGTTATGCCTCAATTCAGCTGTATAGATGCATTGTTAAATGTCTTTGTTGCTGACATGGACAGTGGGATTGAGTGTGCCCTCCACAAGTTTGCCAATGACACCAAGCTGTGTGGTTCGGTTGATACGCTGGAGGGAAGGAATGCCATCCAGAGGGACCTTGACACACTTGTGAGGTGGGCTGATGCCAACCTCATGAAGTTTAACCATGACAAGTGCAAGGTCCTACACCTGGGTCAGAGCAATCCCAGGCACAGCTACAGGATGGGCAGAGAAGAGATTCAGAGCAGCCCTGCAGAGAATGACTTGGGGGTGTTGGTCGATGAGAAAATGAACATGAGTCAGCTGCAGTGTGCGCTCCCATTCCAGAAAGCCAACGGTGTCCTGGGCTGCATCAAAAGGAGCATGACCAGCAGCTCCAAGCAGGTGATCCTGCCCCTCTACTCTGCTCTTGTGGGACCTCACTTGGAGTATTGTGTGCAGTTCTGGTGTCCTCAACATAAAAAGGACATGGATCTGTTGGAACAAGTCTAGAGAAGGGCCATGAGGATGATCAGGGGACTGGAGCACCTCCTGTATGAAGACAGGCTGAGAAAGTTGGGCCTGTTCGGCCTGAAGAAGAGAAGGCTGCATGGAGACCTCATAGCAGCCTTCCAGTATCTGAAGGGGAGCCTATAAAGATGCTGGGGAGGGACTCTTCACTAGGAAGTGTAGTGATAGGTCAAGGGGTAACAGGGTAAAACTTAAACAGGGGAAGTTTAGATTGGATATAAGGAAGAAGTTCTTTACTGTGAGAGTGGTGAGGCACTGGAATGGGTTGCCCAGGGGAGTTGTGAATGCTCCATCTCTGGCGGTGTTCAAGGCCAGGTTGGAGAGAGCCTTGGGTGACATGGTTTAATGTAAGGTGTCCCTGCCCATGGCAGGGGGTTGGAACTAGATGATCTTAAGGTCCTTTCCAACCCTAGCTATTTTATGATTCTATAATCACACACAGAGAAGTTTGGCTCCAACCTGTATATCACTTTGGTTTGCGTAGTTTCAAAAGTGTTTGTATGGTCTTCATATGTATTTCTGCATGATTCCAAAGGTGTTAGTAATAATCTGTATAATGTTAATTAGTTTCAGAAATTACGTGGAAGAGGCACTTTGGTTTTATCTGAATCAGAAGCTCACGTAAAAAAGCTTCAGGAGACACAAAAGTCTCAAGGAAGATCCCCATTTCCAGAACTCAGTTATGAATAAGCAGCAGGAAAAGTAAGTTTAGTGAGCTTCAAAGTTATCTGCCTTTGTTCTCCCTCTGTTTATTTTTCTACATTTATATTTTGAGACCACAATCCAATCAAGATTTGCGTACATGCTTAATTTTATCACTGACAACCTCAGAAAAAAAATCTATCCCTGAAGTTAGACATGTGCATCAGTCTTTGTAGATACAGCAGTAAATATTAAAGGAACAAAAGGCAGATGGCAAACTGTCTTAAAATCTACAAAGTTCATATTGGTTTAAGGTAAAATAATGTCTTTAAAATGAGCTTCACTGTACTTGAAAGGATCCAGAGAACAGCAATAGAAAAAATGACAAGCTTTTTAAAATTACATAAGGAGGAAGTTGAGGAATTATTTCATCTGGGAAACATGACTACCAGGAGTAAGACAACAAACTACAGATGTGTTAACGAAAGATGCATGTCAAACAGAAAACAATGAACAATAACAACAAAGGTGTTGAACAACAGATGTTGCTGGATTGTAAGTAAAAAAATAGAATGGAAAGAATAGGAATTCACTTTGTAGTGAACACCAATATAATCCCTTAGCTATATGTATTAAATGTTATATCAGAATTAAAAAAAAATTAATCTCAGTAATAATACTTTGAATTTATTTTTTTTTAATTTACGAGTAGTTCCCAGCTTTAAAAATCATGTTCTTACTGTAAATTCAGGATTGATGAAGGGAATACATGCACCATTTCTAAAAACTGCTGCTCACAGCTATCAGTATGGCAGGTAATTTTTTTTTTGTTGAAGTCATACACCATTAAGATAGTGCAAAGCATCTGCTTCTATTAATATGCAGTGAGATATGCTTAATTATTTTATCCTGTAAAGGATAGTTTTGTGACTGGCAGTAGTAGCTTTTTCCAGTTGTACATTTTTGTAGTTAATTCCATACTGGGACATTCACTCTTTTCCCACCATTACCTCTTTTCCATGCAGACCATTGTAGGAGAGAGTGTTTCTAACCAAACTACTTGAAAAAGACTCAGAAGTTCTGCCTTGTAAGTACTTCACCAGAACAGTAGCTGTTTTCCCTTTGAGGAGTTTATGGAGGTGGCAGTAGTCCCAGCATAGGAACTGTGCTGTATAACCAAGCACTTTCACTCAGTTGTCTAGACAGTTTACTTACTGTTGTATTTTTGTTTGCACTAAAATTATCTGAAACACAGATCCTGTTTAAAATAAACAGGTGAACACTCAGAATATGCAATTTCAGCTGCAGACTTTCAGATCTCCTTATTGGCCATCCTCAGCAACTCTTTAATGTTAGTCAAACATTCTGTGATTACCAGCTATCATGTTTGTAAGTTCAGCTTATAACACCACAATAAAGTCAATTTCAGGAAAAACAGTCTAGCTAGCCATTGATCTAAGTCTCCTGAGGAATTTTATGCTGCCTGGAATGATTTTTGTTGTTTAAGATAGTGCTCAACAATGAAAAGTCTAGGACAGTTTGTTGCATTAGTCACATGCAAATATTTATTATTAAAAAAAAAAAAGAGAGAAAAAAGAAAGAAAAACATTACAGGAAAACCTCCAAACACATAATTAACTCTGAATAAAATTTTATACTTATTGTCTGCTTAAAGAATGTATGTGCTTTTTCAGAAAAGGGTGCTAACCAGGGAGCACCTATGAGACACTTCCACTACTGCTTACTATCTCGTATTTTTATTACGAAGTGCTATCAAGTGTTTTACAAAACAAAACCAAAATCAAAACCACCTTATCCTGAAGAATTTCTAGAGAAGGTTAGAAGCAGCAGCTAAGTGCAACAGGAAGAAATAAATGAAGAAAGCATAAATTAGCAATGCATTAATGATGAAAATGGCCAAATTTCTTAGATATAACAGAAGAATGATTTAAAGGGGAATAAGGATGCCATTCTGCAAATCTGTAAAGAGTGCCTTCCTTGTACAAAAGTAGGTGTGAGTGGATTGACAGCCACAGAAATATTACTTTTACAAGTGGTGGACCAGTAGTAGGTCCAAGGACCAGCGGCCCTAAAAGGCCACCATACTGTAGTTTGTCATAAGTGAGTAACAGATAACAGAAGGGTCACAAGACAGGTTAATAACCCTGTTTTAATGTTCAAAATATTTATAAAAGATATTTTAGGAGGTTTGTTAGATGTGGTAGAAATGCAGAGCCAGTAACAGATGCAGGCTCAGATACACTGTTAAAACACTACTATACAATAATCAATAGTATTATAGTAACTCATCCTTGCAGATACAAGTTTGTTTTTCTAGGTAAACTATAGAAAAAGAACATTCCATATGACAACAGCCAAATCGTATAGTGGTTAAATAGTCAAATACAATAAGGGAATATTTATGAATGTGAATGAATACATGGGGGCTACCACAACATGGAATGTGTAATTAAACCATTTGCTTCTCTTTGCTGTGGCAGATCATAATTGTGTGGTTCTGTTTCACTTTCAAATTAGAGATATTAATGTATGTATGTTTTACTAAGGTTGCTGCTTTATCACAACTATGCCAGACACACTTAGCATCTGTACTTCTGCAGAATCCAAGTTGGAGGTCAAACTTGTAAACTGCAGCACATTAAATAGTCAACGTTATGAGTAAAACCCAAAAATTATAGTAAATGATAGATGAAGCCGAAATAATATTTTCCAAGAGTAGACTTTAAAAAAAGGAAGAGCCAAAAAACCCCAAAAAACATTTGAAAGAGCAGCAGAGGGGTTTACATAGTGAAAGGTTGAGGATGTAACAAACAAACTGCTCTAAGGGTCAGCACTGCCTGATCCCATTTTCCTCTCAAATCTAGTATGTTAAAGAAGTCTGTGATCATAAGTCCAGTAGTATTGCCACAGAATTCCCAGTAATAATGGTGAGTGTAGTAGCAGTCATGATATACAACCTCCTTTCAATCCATGTAAAACCATCAAACTGTAAAGAAGGGAGAAACTATGCCATCAGCACTAGCCAACCAGAACACATTTCTGTGGCTTGGAAGATAAATATCTTCACCTACTTCTACAATCTTCTAGCATGTATATTTAACAGAGGTCTTAACGCTGACTTGGAAACACATTCACGGTTCTTTAAACAATGATGTTTGTCCCAGCCTGTCAGTCTGTTGAGTTTGAAAACTCATTTTATGTAACTAGTCAGTTCAGACTTTTGTTATTTTAAACAAGTCGAAGCCCATGCTTCTCCACAGCAGAAGTCCTTCAATTTTAGTTAACTTTTGGTGTGTAACAGGATCACAGTATAAACCAAACTATCAATGATTTAGATTATATATTATTTTTGGATGATAATTTCTCTCCGAATCCACAACCATACTGTTCTCTTGGCCTAGACCCCCTAGTAGGGTCATATAATTTGTATTTTGTTACCTTCACTTAGTTATTTCTAAATGCAATTTAAACTTGCCCTCCTCTTTGCATGAACCCTGGCAAAGTTCAGCTGAAGCTTTCTTTGTCTTAATAACATTGGTATTCAGAGTCAATAGGTACATTATCTTCCTACTAGGAATTCTGGTTTCTTAGAATTATTCTTTTTAGCAGTCTTTGTTATATCTGGCTTGTAATTATTTGAAAATTCTCTTACGATATACAGTATAATAA